GCAAAACTCTTCTGAGGCTTCATAATCTTTGCAGGATTAAGTTCAGCAACTTGATGGGGGGGGCTTGGGGGGTAGGGGGGCAGGGATGTCTCACTGGGCCTTCTCCTGTGTTCTGTTACACAACCACACAAGGTGACCCTGCAGTACAGCAGAATTGCAAAAATGCACCAGCTTCTCTTTCCAATTAATTTCACCATTTCCAGATAATACTGCACTTCCCTTGCTCTAAAAAAGCTTCAGGAATGCTTGGAAAGCTTGGGAGAGGCCCCAGAGATGACAAAGTTGTGCAAAACCCTGACAAACAGCCACAAGGGAGGCAAGAAATGCTTTGTGCGGAGAATCCTAATGGCCTCATTCCATTTCTCTGACCGTAGTGTTTCATGAGTTACACCCTTCCACCCCTACTCCTTTCCATGGGCAAAACCTAATTGTTTTGGTGTGGACAGAGCTAAGAAAACTGGTAGAACTTTATCATTCTTCATCCTGGCAGGGGACACCTGGTTTATGTGGTCCTAGGCAAGGTAGCCTCTGTTCCCCCCACCCCCAGGCCTCACAATAAGCTTACTGAACCTTGTGCGGGGGGGGGGGGGCATCCTTTCCATGTTTAGTAGGGTTTGGGAGGTTGGGCTGCTGTGAAGTGAAGCTGAAGACATGGCATTGGAACCTCCTGCCATCTTTTTCCCATGATGTCTCTAGGCCAGCGCCGAGGGGCAAAGAAGATGGCAGGTGGCCGCAGCTTCCGCTGGTGCTTTGCACCGGTGTGCCTGCTGTCACTCTAGCATATGCCCCACATATGAGGAAGACAAAGGCAGAGAGGGGCAAGGCAGGAAATGCCAAGGCTGCTCGATCCCCTACTGCATCTGTAGCGTTCGTGAAATATGAGGAAAGAAAAATGCATGGAAGGAAGACTTCCACAAATGCATATGAATCCAGCCATTCTAAACACAACTTAGAGGACATCAGGAATGCAGCCCCTTCCCTCAAAAGGCTGCCCCAAAGAAAGAGGTCTCCTGCTGTTTGTGAAACAGGCTCAGGTGTGGGGCTTGTGGGGCTTGGTGAAATCGGTTGAGCAGGGCTGACCCAGGGCACTCAAAGCAGAGTATCTAAATTGCATCTCTGCCACTATAAAAGCTAATGCAAGAAACAAGATAACGGTTACCTTTTAACAGAGTTCTCTAATCGACTGCCTGGGGCAACTGCCTGAGCCTCTGGCAGCGTCCAGCTCTTGTGCAGGGAATTTGAAGCCCACAATACCTCTTCCTGATGCTGATGCTTCCACCTGACTAAGAAGATGCTCTTGGTTGGACTCATAAACATTTGCTGGTTTAAAAGACCTAATGCCCTGCAGAAGGTTAACTGCAAAATAAGGAAGTAACCGTGAAGCAGCAACTTAAAACACCAAGACCCAGAACTAACATAAAGCTACACAGAAGCAATTAACATACCACCCAAATACTGGCTGAAGTAGCAATTTCTTCACCGCCAAGCAAGCAAGGCTGAAGGGGTCCTACCTCTTATAACAATCAAAAGCCTGTCTCTAGTGCCATCCGCAGGATCTCAGGTGGTTGGGGAACACCATGCAGGGCCTCTGAGGCTCACACGGGCAGCTTTGTGCCATTTCAGAAGTTGCCATGGACTAAGGTGGGTTGGCCAAGACTATTGCAATTGATTGATTAAGCTCGATCCCACTATGTTTTAGACTAACTCTCAAGAGTCCTAACAATTTGCCATACTGGCTGGGACAGATAGGAGTTAAAGTCCAAAACATCTGGAGGGCACCCAGTTGGAAAATGGCTGGTCTGAACTATCTGAGGTGGGGATTTACCATGGTTTTTCTCAATGCTGCAATCCTTACTTAGAGGCTAAGCCCCACTGAACGCTGTGGGTTGGTTAATGTGACGTATCCTAGCCATCATGGGTTATTTAAATAAGGATGAGGTGTGGTGTGTGCGGCCACCATTTTGAATATGCAACCTAAGATCAGGGATTGCACTATGTTGTGCAAGCCCATCCACTCTGGGTAATTTGAGGGTTGAATAACCTCACATAACCATACTCTTAATCACAGCAAACCACAATGGTGCCAACTGAAGGTTGCATATTCAAACCTGCAGCCACACACATCCAGGATGCACTGTGGCTTATTATGACTTAATTAACATGTGGGGTAAACATATATGGGGTTGTGCTGCAATAAGGTTGTCTGGGCTCCAGCACAACATCCTGAGCATTTTTCTTCCCGACCTTCATACTCAGGAGCTAGAACTTCATAATGATGCATGTTTCACAGACAGGGTTTAGGGAATCCATTGTCCTTGCCTTCTCCCCTGGGTGCGGATTCACACAGACAGCTTCCTCCTCCTCCTCCTCCTCCTCCTCCTCCTCCTCCTCCTGCAGGTTCAGTGTGGTGGAAATGCAGTGGCAGAATGGATGTTGCTGCTGCCAGGATTTGGGCAAACTGCAGTGCCCTGTGATGATGTGTGACCCCTGGGTTTAGAATCCCATCAGACAGCAGAGGAAGGGATCTGTCCATGCAATGTGGATCCAGTAAGACAGTGAGTCTAACCCCTTCAACTAACAGAGTATCAGTTATGTCAATGAATTTCTACAGCCACAGCAAACGTGTGTGTTTTGTTGATGACGTCTTTACTCATCTGGTGTGTGAGAGAAAGCATGAGACTTTGAATTCAGGTTCAAAGCCCAGCTTGGAATGGCAGGTCGTGAGTTCAGTGTTATTTGCCCTCCCCTCTCCTTCACAGCGCTCTTGGAGAGATTAATGAGGGCTTTGGGATCCTGTGCCCACTGCACCCTTCCTTCTGCGGAAATTCGGACAGGGCCAGAACAGGCAGAGGAGGGCCTCTGCAGCGGTTCCTCCGTACCCGGCTTGATCTGGAGACATGAGCCAGATGCAAACGCTGAGGAAAGCTTCGTGCGCGCCGCCGGCCTTGCAGCCGGATGGCAGCGCACAACCCCGGGGCCGTCACTGGCCTCTCCCCCCTGGTCGGGCTGGGGCCGTCAGGGCTCGCAGGGGGCCGGGGCCGCGAGCCCCCCTGCCCCGCCCCTTCGCCCCCGGGGCCCTCCCGGGACTCCGCCCCAGGAAAGCCCTCGCCCGAGCCAATGGCCCCGCCGCCGCCGCCGCCGCCGCTTTCCCCGCTGGCGCAGTGACCACGTGCGCCCTGCAGCGCGTCACCCCTATGTAAACAAGGGGGCGGGGCTATGCTAAACCAGGCGCCGCCCCCGGGAAGTAAAGCGGGACTCCCACGCTCAGCACGGAACTCCGTCCGAGCGCGAGGCGCCCTGGGCATCGCTCGCGCCGTTCCCCGCTTCTAGCGCGCGGGGCGAGGGAGAGGCGCGGGCCGGCTTGGCGCCAGGAAGGGTGCGCCGCGGCTGCTCCCGAACCGAACCGTCCCGTCCCGTCCCCCCGGTCCTGCGGCCAGGCGCGCGTGCCCCGGGGCTCTGCCAAGGTGCGCTCGCGTCCACCCCTCGCCCCAGCCAGAGCCCGCTCGCGGCGCGGCGGGGCTCTTTGCGGGAGGTGCCCTGCGCGCTCCGGGAGCGTCCGCCTCTCCCTTGCAACGCCTGGGCCGGGGGGCGGGGGGGACGGGACCCACGTGCTGGCCGGAGCTGCAGCCGCAGCCGCTCGCTCGGAGCGCCGTTCATTGCTCGGCTGGAGAAGCCTCGGCGGACGCCCCGCTGCCGTGCCGCGCCGTGCCGTGCCGGTTTTCTGCCTGAGGGAGGAGGCAGGCGCCGCGGTGGAGGGACTGCAGCGAGCGGCGGAGCTTCCTTTCCCCGCGGCGAAGGAGGCGAGGCGCTTCTCCGCAGACGCTTCGCTCGGCGCGCCGCCGTCCCGAAGTGGCCGCCGAGTGAGTGCTCCGTCCGCGGAGATCGGGCTCGCAGGCCGGCACCTCCACCCCCGCGTCCACTGCGCGGACTTTCCGCCCAGCAAGGTCACCCGGCTCGCGTCGCGCGCGCCCTTGCCCGGCCGATTCTTCGGCTCTGCCATGCCGCGCGTCCGAGGAGAGCAGTCGGCCGTGGCGACGCTGATCCCGGCATCACGCCGTGACCCGCGACATCCAGCGAGGCGGGTGATTCAGGGCTCTTGCCGCTGAGCGGTCTGCAAGGCAGCGCCGCGTCCCCGCAAAGTTGTGCGGCACGTCAGCTCCCGCCCCGCCTCGCCGCTCTTTGCAGACTCATCCGAGGACTGGAGGAACGGGAGGGGGTCCTCGCGCGGGCTCCCCGCCTGCCCGCGGGCGCCTGCCAGAGCCGGATCCTCTGCGTGGGGCGTCCCCCCGCCCCGGGCTTTGCGGCGCTTCCTCCACCCCCTGCCCATGAGCCCCCTAAGCGCTCGATGGCTTAATCGCGCCGGATTTGCAGCCGCCCAGAGACCGCCCTGCCGCCCTCCCGGGGAAGAGCCGCGGCCCCGCCGCCCCATGCGCAAGAGGAGGAGGCGCCCCGCTTCCCCGGGAAGAGCGCGATGGCCGTGAGGCGGCTGCCCCAGCAGAGCCGTGCTTGTCCCCCCGCGCGGCGCGGCGCGGCTCCCCGTGGGACGCAGCGAGCGGCCGGGACTCCATGACCCGAAGGGCTTATCCGCGGCAGACCAGGAGGGACGCTAATCCCGCATGGGCCAGGAGGGGCCGAGGCCGGGCCTGAGCGCGACGAAAGTTTTGCCGAGCCTCGCGTTGCTTCTGTGGGGGGAGCGAGTCTGATCACCTGCAGGCCTGCCCGGAGATCCCCGCCGCCGCATGCCCGCTGGGAGTCTCCTGCGCCCCGCTCTCGGCGGAGATGCCCCTTAAGGCGCCGCCGCCGCCCACACGCGCTCCGGCTGCATGGCTCATGAAGCAGTCCGGCGGCAGCAGGGTGCCTGTTGGTGGCTTGGAAAGTTTGCCAGGCACCTTCTAGCTCGCATTTTCTGGCCGGAGGAGGAGGCGTGACTGAACGAGGAGGAGGAGGAGGAGGAGGAGGAGGAGGGACCGGGGGCGAGAAGTAGTTGGCTCCTTCCAAGCATGGGCGACGGGTTGCCGGAGCCCAGCCGTGTTGCAAACCCTTCTCCCGCCGTGGCCGCCTGCTCCGAAGCAGAAGCGATCGAAGTGCTGGAAACAGAAGATGTCCTGCCCATGGCCACGGAGGACGTAAGTTTAGTTCGATGCCGCGGCGCCCGCCCCCCCTCCCCTGCAGGCTTTAATCGGATCAAGCTATTTAAAAATAAACTTCGGTATTAAAGGGGTGGTGGCAGAGAGGGTTAGATTCCTTCTAGGAAGAGAAAGTCCGAAGAAGAGAATTTTCCCCACAGGGGGTTGTATCCAGCGAGGAAGGTGATTCCTGCTCACTTCAATGGTTCTGCTTCAAGTAGCTCCAACGCTGGCTTGCACCCATGGATTCTCTAAGAGGCTTCCCGCACCTGGATCCTGTGCGTGTTTAGACCCACTGAGTTCACTGAGCACATGAGGAAAGCGTGCGAAGGATGGAGCCTGGGGAGCATTCCTCCTTCCTCACCCGCTGGAAACCCTGCTGAACTAAATGTGGTCCGAGACCATGTGCTTTCCTTTCCATCATGGAATATAGGCCACTTTCATTCCCTGTCCCCAAATAAGGCAGCACAGTTAGTTGTTCTTAGACCCCATTTATTGCCAGCAGTCTTTCACTAGCTCGGCCCTGCATAAAAGTGGAAACCAGATGGTGGTAACACACTGGAGGTGTCAGTGCCTGAGCAGCTGCATTCATACAAACAAGAGCTGCCATTGCCCTGAAAGGAAGGTTGATAGAAATGGTATGGGTGTAAGCAACGAAGGGAAATAGTAGTGAAACTAATATCGGGTCATTCCAGCCTCATGTATAATTCTGACTCCGTCACAAAATACACAGTGGGTAACCTCAGGCCAATTATACCCAAGCTTGCAGGGCTGCTTGTGCAGATAAAATGAGGCACTTCCATGGAGGACAGGTGTGATACAGATATTAAGTAACCAGCAGCACCTTGTAGCAAGCTACCGTTACTGCTTACTTCAGGTGCTGGATAATTACTCCTCATTTACCAGCACCTGACCATTGTGCCTCCTGCTGCTGAATAACCGTTTCTTCCGATGAGCTGCAGTGGAGCATAAGTATTCTTAGCCCACCACCCACATGGTGGGTGCTAATTGGTGACAAGGCACAATGTAATTGGCAGTGGCTTCCCTTGTGTTTGAACAAGTGTTGCTTGTTCTGTGCCCAAGTACCTCCTAAACGGTGGTTCATGTTCAGACACTCTGGCTGGAAAGTTTAAAAAAATGTTCATTCCTCCCCACGTGTTACATTCTCAGAAATTTTAATAATGATTACTGGCATTAATATGATCCTGTGCTTCTCATGCAGCAATTTGTAAATTAGTATCTGCACTCATATGAACTTAAGAATAAGGAAATGAATGCAAAGAGACTCCAAAGAGATTGCTGCTCTTTCTCGTTATTTCAGATGGTTTTGAAATCAAGCACATTTGGTCTGAATCCCATAGCCGTTCGGAATGTGAACACATGTACTTTCATTTTCATTAAGTGTGTACACAGTCCTTTAAATGTGAACCTCCAGCCTGCTTGCTAAGCAGCCTAACTTAGTTGTAAGCCTTAATCTCTAAAGATTCTTAAACAGTGAACCTTGTTAGTTACCAAGCACAGCATCTTTCTCTGGGAATTCAGCCCACTTCATCTCCATCTGACTGTTTGGTGGAAGATTTAAGGATGCTGAAGATTGCTCTTCACTTGTAGCTGCTACAAGATTAATCACTAAATAGGAGTGAGAGTGCCTGGGTCTTGGTGGATAGCACACACTCCTGTACAGGTTTACTCAGAAGTAAGCCTCACTGAGTTCAGTGGGGCCTACTTTGAGGTAAGCGGATATGGGATTACCACCTTAAACACTTGCATAGCAAATATCCTTGTGACAATGAGGGGTTTCCTGGGTGTTATTCCTGCCAGTTTTCTAATTTAGGCTATTCTTGGCTGTATTTCTTAGTTTCTAAGACTGATGGATATAAGCACAACCTAAGTACTCAAGCTCCTGATGCTTGAATAATTCTCATTGTACTTCTCTTTAGGAGGACCTGTACTATTATAATGGGCAATGCGTCATGCAGTACTGCTATAAAAATCTCTAGTTCTTAACATTCCTGCCAGAATTAGAGGGACTAGAATGCCCCTGAAGAAAGTCTAGTCTAGGGGTTGGTTGCTTGGTGTCCTCCATATGTTTTGGATACAGCTCACATAGTCCTTGACTATTGGCTGTGCTGGTTGTGATTTATGGGAACTGTAGTGCACAAACATGTGGAAGGCATCAACTTGTCTACCTTTATGCTAATCCAAAGCATACAGAATACTAGAGAAAGAGAAGAAGACAAGGTGTCCTATTGAAGAGGTGCTGGTACCATTCAAGAAATCTAAAACATCCACTACAATTTAGGGGAATAGCTGTAATATAAATATGATCTATAATGTGACCCACGTGATTTAGTTACTTGCATAACTGGTTTAACACTTTCGTATAAGTGGGCTGATTTACAGATTCTCACGAATAAAGCTGCAGCTTGTAGTTGCATAATGTAGCTGGACACTTGTTCTGAAAGAGCCCCGGCTGCTTCACGGAGCAGCTGTTCCAAAGTGTCCTTGGTTGGGAGCCTTGTCAGTTACACAGGTTAGGAACTGGCTTAGATTTGCACTGTAAATGTAAAGAATTCTCTTGGATGCCAAATGCAAAAGTTTTGATGGCAGGTAGAGAAATAACACGCAACCAGGGATTCGCTCTTGATATCAGACATCATTTACTGGGGTTCTTCATGAATTTTGAATAGCGACATACATCTGCAAATCTATCAATCTCGTCTTTTGTTCAATTGCTGAGGGCACGCTGCAGTCCCAATTTAAGACACAGTTCCTGATCTATTCAGTGTGGAATGGAGCTGAGGTCTGTCATTCCACAAGTCTTGCCCAGCTGTGGTGCCCTCCAGATGTTATGGACCACAACTCCATTCTGCTCAAGTCAGCCTGACCAATGAGCAGGTAACTGGGGGGCGCCATGTTGGGGAGGGGTGCATCACATATCATGCAGCACCTCACCATGCTGGCTGTGGCTTCTCTGCAATGACACTGCTACTTTTAGTTCAAAATTCTGTTGCCTCTCCTCTGGCTAGGGGTTCTCCAATATCTTGTGGGAGCTAAACCTGCTTCCATGTAGCACAGCCCATGGCTGTGCGTATTGCGGTGAACGTGTGTCCAGCGAGTGCTCGATCTGTGCTGTTGCATCTGAGTAGTAGCTAAGTTAGCCAGGGCCAGACAGTGGATAGAAAATCCGCTTGCTGTTTCTTGCCTGCTTCGTATCCATGCATCCCATTACTTCCTGCTTTATAGAACCATAGAGTTGGAAGGAACCAAACTTCATCTACTCCAGCCTGCTGCCCAAAGGCACAGCTGCCAAGCCACCAACCCCCCACAGATCAGCCATTGCTGTCCAGAGCACTGTGTGACCCAAGCAGAGGGCAGAAGCCTGCCAGAAAGGTACGTGCGGACTGGGTACATGCAGTTCTGGGTTAAGTAGTGCTGCTTCCAAACACGTTGGCAGGCATGGCTGCTGAGCGCGCTTCCTCATTCACTTCCTGGGTGGCAGGGACTTGTTGGGCAGCCGTGGAGAGAGGCTGCGGCAAGCTGCCCAGCTGGGCTGCACCATGGCGCCCTTGGCTGTGCCTGCACTTACACAGGGGGGTAAGGCAGTTCCATCACGAGGTGCGTCGGGAGGCATCGCTCTACCTGAAGGGAAGAGGCTTTCCCGCTTGTCTTCTGTGCGGGGCCCCATGCACCCAATGCAGTGAGGTTGCTTTGCTGGCTCTTGGGGCTGGAACTCAGCATGGGGCTGTCGGCATCCCCCAGGCAGAGAGCTGAAGTGCGCTTACTAGCAGGGCTTAGGACCAAAGCTGGGTGGAAAGTGCAAGAGAAGATCTGTCAGAGGGGCCTTCAGGACCCACCTGCAGGAAAAGGTGCATACAATTGCAGCCTCTTGGAGTTGTTTTGCTCCTTGTGGCATTTCCGACACACAGACAAGGAGCCATCAGGTCGCGCCAGCAGGGGGTACAGACAGGCTCAAGGCTGGCCCTTCCATTGAGTTCAAGAGAGCGCTGGCCCCCAGTGGCATGCTGGGAGGTGGCAGCACGGCGCTGGAGGAAGCGAGCAAGTGTGGCCTGGCTGGCACCTTCTAGGCTAGCCTGCCGCCTTTGGGTGTGGACGGTGGTGCTGGAGAAAGAGCCAGCCAGTGGAAGGGGAGGGGCACCATCTTGTCCTTCAGCTCAGCAGCTGAATGGCTCTGGATCATCGCCATAATTCCCAGGGACACTGAGAACACACGGGCAGTGGGAGCTGCTGCTGCTGCTGAGGCCCCACAACACGGAGAGTCAGTGACTTTGGCTTCTCTTCACCAGGCCAGGGGCAGCGACTGAGCAAAAGAGGCTTTCCCCCCAGCAAGCCCTCCTTCCTTTTGAGGAGACCCATGTGACCCCTCTCCCGCAGCTGCACCGTCTGTGGCAGATGCAAGACCTCCAGGAGAGGCTCTCAGGGTCTAAGATGGAGGTTTTCTCTCCTCTTGCTTCCCGTGGCCTGCCTATATCTTAAGAGTGCATAAAATAATTGGCCATACATTCCAGGCATAGGGAACAGTGTCTGAAAGGCCCTTGTGTAGCACTAGCATTCATGCACTCCATGTCTGGCTGTAACTACAAATCAGGCTGCAGAAGCACAGATTGCTTCAATGGATGGAGCTGGGCAAGCTGAAGGAGCATAATCAACCCTCTAGTTAAAAAACAAACACACTCAAGGCCTTTTGGGAGGCGTTGATGTTACAGGTTTGTTCTGGGCCAAGAGAACTTATAGCTGGGCTCTGACGGTAAGCTTTTCCTGTCGCCTTGTTCTGTGTCCAGGAAGGCAAGATCCATGCAGAGTCCAGGGTCTCACGCTTACCAGGAAGGCGAGTAGGGGAAGGAGATTTTGTGTAAGACCACAGGGGGAAGTATCCGATTCCTTAAAGCTTATGCCCATCTCTCATATATAAATACAATTGTCTTGCCGGGGGGTTTCCCCCCGGAGAGTAATAATAAACCTGGTATTACTACCTGGGAAAGCTATGTTTAACAATACATGTAATTAGAGAAGAGAAGCTGCATTTAATATTACACAAGAGACCGGAACACTCTTTCAGAAGCCAACAGGCTTTTAACCCTCCATAATTATAGCCCCCCAAATGTCTGGCACTCAGAATATTTCAGATCTTGCTTTTAACTCCTCCCTATACTTGTTTGGCTGGCACAGGTGGGTATGTCTCGCTTCTGCTGCCCTGAAGCAATTGAAAGCAAGTGGTTCCTTCCGAGCTGATACAGGTGCTTGTAGACTGATGCATTGAACTAGTTCTGCAAAGCACCCATCATTACGGTTGCCAGATAACTGGAAAAAGTCTGGCCAAGTCTGCTGCTGTGTCTTTAACACCACCTGGATGTGCTGAGATCTGCTGGCAAAGCTTGATGGCACGGAGGTATGCATTATATTGCGCTAATCTCTGCAGATCAAGCACTGGTAAAGGTACAGCTGCAGAGGCTGGCTGGCCAGATGGCAACCATGCACAGTGGATTGATCCACTGGACTGATCCAGAGTGGTGTTCCATACATTATGGCACCTTCTGAGCAGAGTTTCATTTGGAGGCCTCCTTCTGGCAGAAATGGAGATGGAGAAAGGGAGTTTTCCCACTCGCCCTGCAGCCTCCAGTGCCCACATGTAATGTAATAACAATAACAGTCAAAAGGAAGGTATAGTCTGGACCCAACTTAGTCCCTCCTTCCTCCGTTTCTCTTGTCCACAAACATCCAAGAGGTACAACCAGAAAGTTGCAATCGATCAGTCCTGGAACTTGTGCAGTAGTCATGAGAAGGGTGGACCTGAGCACATCCCGAGCGCTTCCACCAGTGTTGTCAGGGCATGAACCCGACGCCTTCTGTGTGCAGAGCACGTGCCGGGCCACTGAACCATGGATGCTTTCACACTTGCCCCAGCCAGGCTTTCATCAACCACATGCGTCAGTACGGATTTTGCATTCCCAAGAGCTAAGCATTTTTTTCGCTGTTGACTTGGGATGGTCCCTGACTTCCTGCTGCTCTTCAGCGCCTCCACTGTGGGTGGCCAGAGGTGTTGTTGCAGTGTGCAGCTCAGCAGGAGCAAGCCAGGTGACACCTGGCATCCATAAGGTCCCACCCAGTCTTGCAAAGCTCTTGACTCAGCTCCTCCATGTGATTAGCTCCGAAATCCTTCTTTCTGCTGGCCAGCTGGTTGGCTTGCTAGGTGGACTGCCTGCCTGTTTTCCAGCCCACCTACATGCCCGGTTGGTACTCACCTGCCTCCATATGAGCAATCATGGCATTTCCATAGCCCCAGGGAGAGATTATTATTTAAAATATTCTTAACCGCCTGCCTTGTAAGTACTCAAGTTGATGTATACGGCTGGGTCTTCAGCAGGCAGGGATTATTTAGCCTTAAGAAAGCAAAAGGAGACAGAATTATTAGATGGAAAGGGAGGCGAGGACTCTGTTGTGAAGCAGAGATCTTTGTGGGAGATTCGACTTTTCTTGCCACTGTCCTTGTGAGTGATGCCTGTCAAAATCCCTCTTTGTGCACAGCTGTGTGTGGCACAGGAACCCTGCCCTTCTGATCACCATTGGGTCATTCTAGGAAAAAAACGGAGAAAGAGGAGCACTTGCAGAAGTTAATTTAAATTGGGCCCCTGGATGCAGACTGGGACTGACGGAGGGGGTGGGTGGTGGTGGTGGCCCGGGATCAGCTCAGGCTGCCGCTGACTGCGGCACACAGGAGATGTAAAGGGAGGGAATCCAGAAGCACCCACATGGCTCAGCCAAGTTCATGCTTATGCAGTACAGCTGGAGGATTTTGTAGTTAGTTCTTTTCCTTTTTTTCCTGGGTTTTAAAGTGGAAATGCGGTATGTTTTGCTTGTAAAGAAACAAACTTCAATTGATGATTAGCTGGTGGTAGGAAGAGCAGCAGCACATTTAGAATAAGAAATAAAACTTGTTTCATTGAAATTTAGAACAACACATAATTCTTTGGCCAGGGCGACTTAATTTATATTGTCTTATTGAATTGTATTTATTTATGGTTTGTGAGCTGCCCCGAGGCTTCAGCGAATGGGGCGGCATAGAAGTCCCCTAAATAAATAATAGGAATAATAAGGAAATAAAACTGAGACTCTGAGGAAGACAGAAGCTGAGCTGCCCAGGTTATGGCCTGGCTGTCCTGTCTGGCAAGATCTGAAATTACATTAAACAAAGCTGGGATTGAACATTAGCTCTAAACCACTGGATGGATTTATAGTATTTATAGTGACAAGTGGGGTGGGGGTTTTACATGAATATTCACTGAGGCAACAGCTTGATTGCTTCTGTGGGATTCTGGGGAGTTAGCAGCTCTGGACTTGTCAAACAGTTTGCTGAGTTGGATCCACCGGTTGCAGTGTGATTCATAACCTTATGTTATCTAGGGCAACCAGCATGCTGGTCCTGCTGCTCTCTGCTGGACACCTAATTCTTGCTTCTGTTCTCCTTGCAGCTGAGCGATGGCTCAGTTGGTTAGGAGAAAGAGGCACCTGCATTACCACGGGTCTCTTCTTACCTCTGGAGTCACTACCAGAATGCAGGATGGAGAGTCCTCTGCTCAGCTCCATGGCAGCTGAAGTGTGGGGTTCCACAAGGTTCCATCTTGTCTCCCATGTTTATGACATCAGTCCTGTGAGGTCAATCAGTCTGACATTTCAGAATGGCCAGGGAGGCTTTGCTTGGGTGCCTGTGACTTACAGAACAAAAAATAAAAATAAAAATAGTTCAATAAGTGGTTCACCAAGATGCCCCCACCCCATTAACAGCATTCAAATGGTCTGCAGGAAAAAATGGGGAAGCTGCTAGTATAGAATTAGGGCTGTACTCCTTTTGGCTTCACTATTTATGGTCAAGAAGAGATGGTTTTTTAGGGCAGCTGGGGTCAGACAATGCCATAGCCCACATTTCAACAACAATTCATAGTTCAACAGCAGCCCACAGTCAACCCTTGAGTGGATTATCATATTGTCTGAACCCCGTGTAAGCTTTAGAAGAGGAATGTCAACCTATAAGAATGAGAAAAGGGGGGAACCAGGAAGCCACTCAATTATTAGTTGCCTGGGAAGGGAACAGCATCAGGAGAGGGAATCCCCAGAGCAGCTCCTGAATATAAGTATGAAGGCATTTGGGTAGGGTGAGGAAAATGACTGCCTCTGAGAGCTATAAATGCAAGAGGGTTTGTAGCTCTGGCAGAAGAAAGGCTAAGCAGAACCAATTCTCAGAGGCAAGACCGTAGGCCTTCCCATTCCTATATTCCCCATTGGTTAATTGTCTCTTTAAAACATTTCTGAAATGAATTGCATTTCTGTGCTCTTACACTTTTCCCCCTTTTTCCTCTTCTTTCCTCTATGCATTGCCTCTTACCTCTCAGCACTGGAAAGCTCTGTTTGATCAGGTATGTGAACAATTCAGATATTTTACTTTAACGCCTGTTAACAATGGAGATCCAATGGGTTCTTTCCCAAGGGGGATGTAATAGCAAGAATATATATTTTTTAAACCAAGGCAGCTGAGCCAGCAGGTATTCCAGATCTACTGAAGTCTGTTCCAAGCTCTGCTTCCAGGCTCTGGTTTATTTTGCCCTTTGCATTTTACTTGTTTGCATTTATAGACTTAATGGCACTTACAGGATAATGTGTTTAACGTGTGCATCTGAAGATCCGTTCCAACTTGTGAACGTTCAAATAAGGTATTTCTAGACATGGATTAATAAAACAAAACACGTGAAGAAAAGCAATATTTCAAGGCAGTTTCTTCCAAGTTTCCTTTTTCTTTCCATTTCCATTTTTGTAGCACATCAAAATATATGTAGAAGCAGAGTTAAGCGGTAGTATTTAAACAGAGCCGATCCACCTCACTTTTGGCACACAGTGGCTCTTAAATGTGTTGCATCCATTTCTGTGCGAGTGTCAATGCTTCTTTCTGCAGATGAAAGTTTTGCTGCTTGGCCTGCCTTTGGTGGAAGGCACCATCGGCAGCCTTACAAGGTGATACTGTAATCGAAGTCCTGTGTGTGGTCGAGCCACAAGACTGTCGTTGGAGCGGGCCTGCTTTTTCCATGGGATCCTCTCTAGGGCCAGAGATGGCTCATTATCATTCCCTAAGTAATCTTGCTGCCAGTGGTGATGAGTGTCTGTTTATAACCCAGTAAGCTGAGTTCTATATTTAGCCCATAAATCTGGGGTGAGCAGTGTTCCTCATTGTGTGCACCATGCATCTGAGGTGGGGAAGAATCATGCCGCTACGTTGTTATAACAGCGAGCCAGAATCTGTCCCATAATGCATCGCCGTGAGCTGCCCCAGTGCTTTCCACCAGTTGGCGGAGGTTTCTTCCGTTGGCGGGGAATAGGAATCGTTCTGAGTTTGCCTTGCCTCGCTGAACTGCGCCTTATCTGCACACTGCGCTTTCCATGTTGTTAACATTAATTTGCTGATGAAGACAGGCTTTTACAGGGAATTCAAATAACGTCAGTGCGTGATGGTGGTGGTTCTCACGGTGCATGATAAAAAGATGTTGGTATTGCTGGCAAGACACCTGCTGAGCTGCCCTGGGACCCTCGGGGTACCTTCAGCACAGCCCTCGTTGGGAATGTGCAAAACACCGCTCGTTCCTGCTCAGGGAAGTCGGGCTGCTGTGAACTCCTACCTTCTGCAGTTCTGAAAGGAGCTGTCAGTTTTCTTGCTGAGTTCATTCAAATGATTAGTAGAAATGCTGTGTTTGGCAGAACTTCCTCCTCATTTTATTTCTGTCCTTCCAGTTTTCCTATTACAAAGAACCCAAGCTAACCTTTATAGGCCTCCTCCTTATCCTAGCCCTGGCTGCTACAAGGCTAGGCCAGGAGTCTGTGACCAACCCAATGCTCCCCAGGGGGCTTCACAGACACATGGGCACTAGAACATGGTCTCGCAAGTCCCAGGCCAACATGCTGAGCACGACACCACACCGGATCTCATTATCTCTCTTTCCAGTGCCTGAGTGTAGACTCCAGTGGTGGTGGAGAACATTCACAGAATATAGCTGGGAGGCTTCCAGTGGCTGAGGGTTGCACACGAACACTTCCAGCAGGTTGCTGGGGAGTATGTCTGGCCCCAAAGCACATTAAACCAGCGCTTGACCTTGCATGGGGGAGCAGGGAGCAAAACCGGATGTTGGGAAGGTGCATTCAATTATCGCATCCTCTCAGCCCCACTCTCCTGCTGTCAGTAGCAAACAGTGGTTGCCCGTCAGGCATGAGTGGAGCATGAATTGAACTTCCGTGGTCTGTGGGACGCATCCATCGAGTCCATTTCCTCCCTGCCAGTTGTGATGCCTCTCCTGCATCATCAGGGAAGAGTTCCTGTGCTGCTGTCTGATGCCAGAGAGCTTTTGCGGCCAGCATTCAGTAGTACCCTAGGAGAGTCGAAGAACAGATGGCCCGTAAGCAGTCCCCAGCAGCAAAAGGCTTGGGGTCTTCTTCATTTGCAAACTTGCTTTGGAGGGGAAGGGAAGGTGTGGCTCTCCGACTCGCTGCTCATCCTCATGGCTGCTTCAGAGCAGCAAGAAGGACTTTGCTCCCCACTGAGGGCTTAGCAGTTTCTTCTGCTGGTTCCCATTTGATTTCAGGGAGGCGCCATGGCTCAGGGGCAGAGCTGCTGTTCTGCATGCAAAGGCTCCTAGTCCAATTATGCCAGCCCAGGTAGAGCTGGGATAACGTTGTCTCAGGCTCTGGAGAGCCACTGTCTGCCAGAGTAGACAACTCCAGCCTAGCAAGGAGAAATGACATTTCCTATTCATTAGACTGACATCCTACCTTTTTTCTTTTCAAAAACTCAGGGCTGCTTACATCATTCTCCTCCTCTTGATTTCAGTCTTATCCCCACAACAACAACCCTGTAAGGTAGACTGAGAGTCTGTGACTGGCCCAGAGTCACCCAGTTAGCCCCATGGCTGCGCAGGGACTAGAACCCAGATCTCCTGAGTCCCAGTCCTGTGCTCTTAAGCACTACACCACCCTCAACAAGACCTGATAAAAATCAGCATCCTGAGATTCAGTGACCCTTTTCTCTCTGTTCAGGACTGGCACCTCTGTATTGCCTCCCCCTTCCAGGTATTTCCTGGTAGCGAACCATGACTGCATCCAATGTTAGTCCCATTAATTCTAATAGGTCTGTTGTAAGTAGAACAACCCAATTGGATGCAGCCCATTGCTTTTGACCCGTACATTTTCTTGAACTCCCATGGCCTCCCCGGATACATTTGCATTTCCATGTCTCTCCAGAATATGCACTTTCACTAATGGTTTCTTTTCCTGCAATCAAACAACTCTAGAAATTGCTATGTAATGTTTTTGTGGGCTTATCTTTCAATATGAGAACCTGTTCCAGATTTTGGCTGTTGCTTTCTTGTTTTTCATTGGTTATAACTCTGGCTCACTGGCCTAAACGTGGAAGCAGGATTGCTTCATACCAAGGAATCGGGCAGAATACTGCCTGCACAGTTCACTCTAATATCTGTGGAAGTAGAAGGGCATTAGGAAAATGATAATATTATGAATGCAAGCCAAGGATTTGCCCACGACTGAAAGCAGATGGCCGGCCTAGAATCCAGGCACTTGTGTTCCTGATATCGGGGTATTACAGAAATCCTACTGGCAGCAGATGGCACTGCCCAGGTGCTAACCCACACCTACTGGGCAGGGAAGCAGTCATGGAAGAGGAAGAAACTGGGCACCGAGCATGTATGGCATGCCACTGCCAAAAGCGTCCTGAAAGGAAGGGAGCTGGAATTCTCAGGGCTCCCACTTGTAAACCTGAATGCAGAGCAGTGATATTTGAAGCTGCAGGGCGCAAATGCCGTCCCTGCGACAGAGACCGGTGCTTGGCACCTGGCGATTCCTAGTTCGGTCTCCAGCTTTTTTGCAGTGCGACTGTGGTGCCACATAGTTGAAGGTCAAACCAGACTTTGGGGATTGGTACAAATATTCTCCTGATAGTGACTTCTATATTACTAATGGTTGGGATGGTCTGAAAGGTAATTTAAGACCCAAAGTAATTACGCCCACAAAGATGGGGGCAGCTGCTGAAATTTAATCTGCCTCTGGGGTGTTAATGCCAAAGAGAGCACAGCTTATGAAAAATGGTCCCCAAATCTTCAGTGAATTAACAAAGCTTTTATTGCCCCTGGGCAAGAACAAATGTCCTGCTCCTAGAATCTAGGAACTAAGGCAGAAAGTTGGTGTGCCTAATGAAATACTGCTTGTTATCTTTGAATATTGACCTCTCTTCTCATGTTGCTGATTTTTACTATTAAGTATCTGAATATCTGACAAGTACCTCAAAGGCTGTCACAAAGGGGAAGGACAAGATCTCTTCATGTTCATTCCAGAGTGCAGGACATGGAATAATGGACTTAAGTTAAAATAAATCAGATTTAGACTAGACACCAGGAAGAATTTCCTCATTGTCAGAGCTGTACGATACAGAACCTTTCATTTATTTATTAAACTTACATTCCATGCTAACAGTCCCCTAGGACCCTGTAGGCAGATTACAAGATGACAACAGTAAAACAACAAAATAAAATAAAAACATACCAATAAGATAACAATTAGCTTGGGAAGTTGTAGGCTCTCCCTTGCTGGAGACATTCAGAAAGAAACTGGACAGCCATCTGAGTGGGATAGTGTAAACCGGTGTCCTGCAACAGCAGGGGCTTGGACCTGATGGCCTTCTGGCCCCTTCCAGCTCTGTTTTGTGATTCTATGAATCCAGGTTTGGATATTACTTTCTCACAACCCACTGCAGGAGCCCTGTGTCCAGTGAAGATGGCACATGTGGCTTTTGCTAGTTACTTCCTTGCACAGCCCTCTGGTTCAGTTTAGGCTACTGACCAGCTGAAGGACACCCAGAGAGCTTCATGGCTGAGTGGCAATTTAGATCTGGGTTTCCTTGATCCAAGTCCATCATTTTATCCATTACACCACACTGTGTCAGGGCTGCCCCGTGGGCAGCAAGGAGAGCCAGGACTCATGCCCGGGAACCAGCCACTCTCAGGCAGTTCCCTGTCAGGAAAACTGCTGTTGCTTAGGAAAAGGCCTAGTCGGTCTTTCCTCTGCAGCCTTCCAGGACTGCAGTCTGCTGGCTCACCTTACAGGGCAACCTTGCGAAGAGCTGATGGTTCCCCATTTTTAGCTCTGGTGGGTCCTTCCTAGAACAAACAAGCAACAGCTTGCAGTAATAATAGTGAACATCATTCATGTGCTGGTATGCACAAAAAAAGCTCACCATGTGGTAGCTGGATCCTGCCCAGCCTTGCCATGGCACAGTGGTACCTATTGCACGGATGGAGCTGCTCTGCCTGTGGATTCCTCCATTCACTTTAGTGGAGGAGACGTGCAAATAATGGGCATACCAAGC